GAACATTTCAGTAAAAATTATTTTTTCTTGAACATTAACTTACCAGACACTGAATAACTGCACAAATTAATAAGCATAATGCAAATAAACCTATTTTTTTTGTTCTCTGAAAGTGAAATATTTCCTGTTGCGCACACCAAACAAGTCAATACAAGACTAACAATGTGGCAGTCGGCTGCTAAAATATTCGCTGCTAGTATTAGTGGAGAGAAATGGTGCGCCTGCGCGTTAGGTGTGTATGGGAAATGAATGCAACACGATTATAGTAATCAGTCATTAGCTAACATTTTAGTTCGTTATTAATAATTATGTATAATAGGATATTGTAAAAATTAAGTTATTAAAATTTTTATTAAAACGTTTCTTACATACTGTTACATTAGCTGGGCTGCAAAATTATTCGTTGTGGGTCACATGTGGCCGGTAGGCCACGAGTTTGACATTCTTGTTGTACATCGTTTTGGAGATGTGATATTGTTCATGCCAGTCAGTCAGTTTGGTTATTGAACACTGACACTGTGCTGGGCCTGACAGTAGAGCTAGAAGACACAGCTCCTGCTTTAAGGATGTCATGAGCCAAGGAAACGGAAAGTTTACTGTGCAGTTTTGCAAATGTTACGAAAGCAGTGCATGTGGGATGTCAGGGCAGCACAGAGAGGAGGCATATGTCATCCAGACAAGGCTGGGTTTATCTAGGAAGGCTGCTTGGAGGAGGGACTCGGGTTTCTTCAGCCAGGATTTCAGAAGCATCGAGTATAGAAAATGAGAAGCTTGAGAACATGCCTGCTGGCCACTGACTGGGTGTCATTTTGTTGTTGTAGGGACAGGGCCTCCCACGGAGTTAGAGGTGCAATCTGAGTGCCCCAGAAACCAGTAGGGACCTCTTACTTTGAACGGACATTCTCCTTGTCCTTGGGCTTCTTTGCTGTGATCCATGACCCTGAACATGTAGGCAAACCGAGACCAGGAAGACGGCAATGACCTGCTGTTGGAGCCCGAGGCAGGGTTGTACCTGCTGCCTCAGAGTCTCTGCCACCCTGTGTTCCTGTTTGCTCTGAAGCCGGTCCCTGCCCCCCCTAAGCCAGCCTGGCCCTGGGCAGCAGGCCGCTGCCCGGCTCCCCGGGAGAGGTGGTCACATGTTATGTCAGCTTCATCCATATTCGGGCTGGTGATAAGGGGGGACATTTAGTTTTTTTTCCATTATGTGGAATACTTTAAGATTGTGTTACGGATGTCATTATTATTGCCACTTCTCAGTAATAAAAACAGCATCAATTATTTAATGTCACCTCCTGTGTCTGGGTTAAGTGGGGATGGTGAGGGACGCGGGAGGCTGGTGGGGGATGGAGGAGGGAGGCAGAGCCCGCAGAGCGCCAGGCCCTCCCGCAGCCTCAGTGTCCCTAAGGGCGGGTGGTGGCTTGTCTTTAGATCCTTCTTCCCTCCTCCGCTGGGGTGTAACTCGGGACTGGCTTTAGCCGTGGCTGGCAGGGAACACAATTAACTCTCTGCCCTTTCCCTCGGCCTGTCATCAGGGAGTTCTGACCCGCTGACAGGCCTCAATTAAATAGATCATCTGCCACGGGGCCGGGGAGGCTCGGCGCCATGGCACAGTTCCAGCCCGCGTGACATGATAGGAGGTGTGCGTGGGGCCGGTGAGAGCCAGGCGTACCACAGTCCACGAGAGGGTGGACGGCCGTGCTTCCCCTGAGCGCAGTGACACATCCCAGCGTGGGGAGCGGCAGGGACAGGTGGACACATAGAGGGTGGCTGCTGGGACTCATAGCAAAGGTGTCGGCTCCTCGCCGTGACATTTGGGGGCCGGGTGTGACTTTTGGGGGTGGGGCCACCAGGGCTTTGGCACCTAATGGCACTTACCCAATTGTGCTTTGCGAGGGGCTGGCCTTGGGCACAGTAGACCTGGACGTGACCGCGTCCTGTTGGTTATGCCCCAGGCTTCTCCTTTCATGACTGTGGAAACCTCAGTGACCAGCCGCCATCTCCCTCGTGCCTGGGACAGCAAACCTGCGTGAAAGCACCGGACTTGGTTTCTGGAGGGAGGTGTGCCTGTCGTTTCCGGAAGCCTCTCTGGTTTCCCAGAAGGCATATTCCTGAGCCCCTTTTCCACCCCCCACCCCCCTCATTTCATTTCCTCCGTCTTTCCTTCTCTCCACTCCCTCTCTTTCCTTCTGGAAGGTGCTGTTTATCCTCCAGCTCCTGCCCCTCTGCACGGCCTTTCCTGAGTGGGTGGAAATTTCTGTTTTTTCTGAGCCCCAGGGACTTGCCCCAAACCATTGATGATGATGATGATGATGATGATGATAACTGTCACAAGAGGGCAGTGATCTCAAGTTCCAGCAGCCCCTTCCTTTAGGGTGGAGGTGGGTGGGGGAGGAGGGCAGGGGGAGGAGTGGGTGGAGGTGGGTGGGGGAGGGTGTGGTGCAGGACCTGGAGACCTATAGCATGGGAAGGAGCCTGTACATTTGGCACTTTGACATTTGGAGCTGCAAGGTGACTCAGCCACCCTGAACCATCTAAAGCCCTAGGAGCCCACCTCAACCCATAGGGTAGGGGTGGGAGTGGGGGCAGAAAGTGACCCATTGCCCGGCTGAAGGGCAGCCACGCAGGTTCTCAGGGCTGCAGGGAAAGTCAGGAAAGCTTGCATTAGTCGCATGTTTGCCCTGGCCTGGTTCTGATGCTAACTAAGAATTTTCCAAACACAGGCAGGCAGGCAGGCTTCCTGGGGGAAGTGTCAAACATCTTATCCTTATAGTAAAAAGAGGGTCTGTAGGTGGCCAGGGTTACTAGTAACCAGGGGGCTTTGGGTACCTGAGCATCCTAAATCCTTCTCAACCTCAGCACTGTTGACGCTTGGCCGGGTCATTTGTTGTGGGGCTGGCCTTGTGCCCTGTAGGGTGCCAGCCCCACCCCTCTCTCCCTCCCCCACATACAAAGATGCCCATTGCCAAATGCCCCCAGGTGGTGGCGGGTGGGGGCAAAGTCGCCCCGTGGAAACCACTGTTCTCAATTAGAACAGTGTCTCTCCAGGCCGCTTTTTCATAAGCACCCTTGTGCGCATTCGTGCCGCTGGCCTCGCCTCGCCTTAACAAAGTGGTTCCCTTCCCGCAGCCTCCTCCCAGCCAGGCATCCATCACCTTCTAAACAGAAGGAAGACACAGCAAGGTCAGCTGACACCCCCCCCCCCCCCAGAGGCATGTCTTTTATTGCCGCCGCGATCCCTCCGATGTCAGCATGAGATGTAGGATTAGAAATAATTAAACCCATAAACAAAGAGCTGCGGCTCTGTGGCACATGGCCCCGGCGCCAGCTGTCACTCCGTAGGGCGAGGGGGGCCTGCAGGGGGAGGCCGGCTTTCCTCACGTCCCTTCTGTCCCCAGGATTCCGTCCATCTGCAGCGTCGGCCTTGAGTGTCGCACGGTGCGGCAGGCTGTCCCTTTGTGCTTCTCCCGGGGACAGAGCAGGTGACAGCCTGCAGCCCCTAGGATTCCACAGAAGGACCCGGAGCTACGAGGCTCCCCCCGACCCCCTTAAAACAAATTTAAGTGAGGTGTCGGCACCCTTCTAGGCATTACAGTGGACGTTGCAAATAAACGATGGGGGTGATGTCGATGTGTGGGACGAAGGAGAAGATGTAGACGGAAGGGTTGATGTTTTCGTTGGTAACATTTCGTTGGAAAGAAAGAATGAAATAAAATGTCTGATTCTCTTTCTGATCCCTGCGTGTGCGTGTGTGTGCGTGTGCGTGTGCGTGTGCGTGTGCGTGTGTAAGACACGGCCGAGCATCATTTTTGTGAGATTCTGTCACGAAAGAAACTTACCGAGAAAACGGTTCCAGCGTTTGCTCATGAATGGCTGCACCCAGGGACTCAGTCAGCAACCCCTCCCCTCCCATAGTAGACATGTTTTTAAAGGGAAACTTCGGTTTGTTTGGAGCTATTATTGCCTGGTTTTCAATAAATATCTACTGTTTGTAAGCTCATCGAGATGATTCCACTTGCCTTCTGTTTGGGTGAAAGCGGAGGTGTGTGTGTTGGTGGGGTCACCCCTCCTCCTCGCTCCCCTCAAGATCCTGTGCATTTGTAAGCTGTGAGCAGGGCCGGGGGGTTCCGGCCGATGCTGTGGGAGTAGAAGCTCATTGTGGATTCATCTGTTTTTATTTATTGATTTGAGAGAGAGAGAGAGAGATCGAGTTATTGTCGCACTTTTTGACACATTCATTGGTTACTTCTTGTATGTGCCCTGACCAGGGATCGAACCTGCAACCTTGGCCTATAGGGACGATGCTCTGACCAACTGAGCCACCTGGCCAGGGCCATCTATTTGCTCTTAACTGGAACCTAAGAGCTGGGACTTGGTCTTGTTTTGTTCGCCAAGTATCCACAGAAGTGGTGGTCGTTGTTCGTTGAGTAAATGTGGGGACTGAAATGCGGACTTTGCCTGGGTGATGCACAAACAGTCGGATTAGTTGGTGACGGACAAAACATCAGGGTGACGCGGTTGCTCTCGGCCACGGGACTCGCCTCTCAGAAGCCGGCACCCCGCGGTGCCCTCCGTTCCCCTCCTGCCAGGGCTGTAGTTCGGACTGCTTTCCCCTCTGAGCGCGTGAGAAACGTGAGGATGGCGAACGTCTGGAAAGTGGTGACCATGCTGCCATCCAAGCGAGCCCGCCCAATGGGCTTCCTGGACAGAGCGTGGGCTGAGCGCCCTTTACCCTGCGGGCTGGGATTTCACTGTTTACTGCCCCTTTCTAGGGTCGGCATGGACCCCTCACATCCTGCTTCTGTCACCCCAAAAGTTCTACAACCAGAAAGCTCGTCCTCCTCCTAATGACCCCGCCTGCCAACAGCTGGGTCTGGCCTGGGGCCTGGCCCGGTGGCCCTCCGCCATCGGTGGAGATCGGCGGGCTGCCGGGCGGCTCTGAGCGGGAGGGGTGTGGGGAATAAAGCTCGGAGAGGTGTCACAGCGACTGCTTCTTGTTTCAGGGCGCGGCGGAAGACCCCCACACGGCCCTGGCCCTGAACTTGGACCCCGCGTGGATGAAGAAGTCTGATGCCGAGAGTCCCCGGCTGCTCCTCCCTGCCAGCGAACTGTCCATCCGGATCGGGGGCGCGGGGCCCCTTCCAGGCAAGCTCCCCGCTGCAGACCCCGGGCTGAGCGAGGCAGGACAGACCGGGGCCTGGGGGCAGGAGGATGGCGGGAATTGCCAGGGCCTCGGGCCCACGCCTCCACAGGACTCACCCCACCATGCACAGGGCCGGACCGGCATCGGCCCCGGCCTTCCTGTCTCACTTATTCTCCAAACCACCTGCTTGCTGCACGGGAGGTCACCGTGCCTTTTGGTTGTCTTTCCAGTTGGGACAGCGGACAAGGACCCCTCGGGTGGGACCGGGCTGGTTTGGGTTAGAGCGTGTGGGCATTTGTCCCTGTGTCTCCCCCTCTCGGACGGACCCTGAGTGATCCTTCCCGGGTATGTGACTTTCCTCTTTCCGATTCGTCGAGGGAATGGCCATTTCTCTCACCGATTCAGTGTTGTGGAGCCAGTCATGCCTCTGGTTGGAGGGCGTGCTTCCCCTGAGGGGAGTCACACAGCTGTTCCCGAGTCTCCTGGGGGTGAGGGTGGGGGGGAGACTGGCCGCGGCCCACTGAGCGAGAGTGGCAGGTGAGCTAGGAAGGTGGCATTGCTTTCCAGGCTCGGTGTGAGACCCACCCCACCCCCACCTCCACCCCTACGGTGCGCAGTCATCGCATACTCAGGGCATTTGGCTAATTTAAGGGCCAGTTAGCGTGAGGAGAGGTGGGTGCCTTTCTTTCCCTTTGAATTTAAGTCCCGCGTTTAACCTGTAAGCCCCAGGCGTCCCTCGCCCTCCCCACTCTCCCGTGGACTGTGGACTCAGGACTTGAAACCATGCAGATGATGCTGGGAATGGGCGCCTCCCCTTGCACGGGGTTTCCCGGAGTGGACTAGGGAGGAGCAGTTGGGTGACCAGGCACCATCTTCACACTAGGGGCTTTGGGGAGAAAGGTTTTTCCCCCTTTCCGTGCAGTCATTGCGATGTGGCGTTTTCATCATGTGCAGGCTCGGGCCACCTCTAAACCTAGGGGACAGGCCGCGTGCACAAAAGTTACAGCGATGCCACAGCCAGTCCTCACGGATCTGTGTTCCGGTTGCATCCTGCATGAATTATTCATGGAGAACTGGAGCATGTTCTCCTCGTGGGCCGATCCTCACTGCCTCCCACCACTTCTCACGCGGGATATAACCAGGAAATAAAAATTCCTCTCACGGGCGCTCAAGTAAGAGAGGCTCAGCGTGAGGAACCTGCCCTGCCTCCCATCACACGTGCTTTCAGGCTCCGATCAGAGCGACTTGGGTGCCGTCTGCTGCACCCAGAACCGTCTGGTGACTGAGACGGGCCAGCGAGCTCCAGGCAAGCGTGCGTTTTTCACGGAGAGTGGTGGGAGCGCAGGGCCCGAGGGCTTCCTGTCCCTCCTCAGCGGCCGTACCGGGCTAGCCATCCTGTGTGCGCCCTGGGAGGCTCCGGCCCTGGTTTCGAGCCTTCCCGAGGATGAAAAACTCAGCCAATAGATTGTGTTCTGTTCCTTTTGTTTTTCTTTATCCGAAGGCCATAGGGGGAATGCCTGTCCATCAGAATAGGTAAACGGGTATCCCTCCCACGGACCCTTTCCAGGGCGCCGTGGGAATAGAGGGCCAGTGGGAGCTGGCTCTGCAGGAGTGTTTCCTGGGACTGCGGGATCGGCGTGGCCACCAGGGCCGTGTGGGAGGGCCAGGCAGTCTGTCCTCTGCTCAGGGACACCTAGACAAAGCGCCTTCCCAGGTTACCAGGCAACCCTCAGCTGCTGTTGCTAACTGTTTAGATACAAAATCAAATGCAGCCCTGGAGCTGGGGGTGCCGGGGGGGGGGGGGGGGGGAGGGCGGGGGAGTTCGAAGATGGTTTGCCAAGAGGGAGCGAGCCCAGCCATCTCTGGAAAGGTCTCTTCTCACCTGGACACGCGCGGGGGTGTCAGGCAGTGGAGGCCTCTAAGCTGGATAATGGCTGTTTGATGACCGGCCTCCTGCAGCTCAGGCCCGAGTGTGCATTATGTGTGCCATCTGGATTTGCCCTTAAGCTCGCTGTAAATGGGCAAGGAGATTGGTTTAATGGGTGTTTAGTGAACAACAAGAGCCTTTAAAAAATAATATTGGCGTTGCCGTTCTGTCCCAGCATCGGCTCGGCAGGAGGAAAAGCCCGCAGAGCCCCACGCCGTGGGCTGTGGGAGAGAAGGCCCAGCTGCTCTCAGCCCGGCAGCCGCCCGAGCCAGGAGCAGCTTTTACGAGATATTTGCCTCTTTATGTCTCTGTGCCAAACGTCTCACATTATCCACTGTTCTCAAGGCTGGGGCTATTCTGGGACTTAGCTAGACCAGAAGTCCTTCTAAAACCATCAGTCTCTCCTCTCCTCTCTCTCTCCTTTCTTCTCTTCTCTCCCCCCCCCCCCCCACCTCTCTCTCTGTCCCCTTCTCCATCTCTCTCCCTTCGACTATTCATCTATCTCCAACCAGTTTTTTTAATTAAAAAAGTAATAACCTAGATTAAAAATTAAAAAGTAGTATTTCTTCCAGCTTCACATTCCTTATGGTCCAGGCTCCCATCTCAGGCACAAACACGTTTCCAGTTTCTTTTACATCCTTCCAGGAATACTGTGTGTTACAGTCCTGCTCGGCCCCTTGGTCCGGACCTTGTGTTTTCCACTGCGGTCTTTGTTTTCTGGGACACTCATCAATTCATCCCATTAAGATCTTGTTACTGGCCGTGATCTTACCTAATTGGGTCCCCCCTCAAGGGCCCTTTAGGTTGTTTCCAATCATTGGCCCTTACAAAGAATGTGTCACAGAGCATTTTTAGATGTACCTCTCTGGGCAGTGACATTGTGCAGCAAATTCTAGAAGTGAGGCCAGGGGTTCTGTACACTGGGGTCCATGGATGGGCACCAAAGGATGAACCCCTTGACATTTTATGACATTCTCCCCCCCCCCCCCCCTGCCCCAATAAATAAATAAATGTGGTCTGGTTGGTTTTGCTCAATGGTTGAGCGTTGACTTATGAACCAGAAGGTCCCCTGTGGGCTCCCCAGCCAGGGCACATGCCCAGGTTGTGAGCTCGATCTCTGATAAAGGGTGTGCAGAAGGCAGCCGATTGATGACGTTTCTCTCTCATCAGTGCTTCTCTCTATCCCTCTCCCTTCCTCTCTCTCTAAAAGAAATCAGTAAAAGCTATTTTCTAAAAAATGTGAAGGCAGAGTTCCGTGACTTCCAGCACATGGGCCCGTGTTCGTCTAGGTCTCGAGCTACACTCTGGCCGCCGCCCCCCCCCCCCCCCCCCCATTCAGCTGCCCAGTTGGACGTTGTCTTTCTCACTAGCACTCCCTTGGCTCAGCAGGGGAGCGAACGGTGAATCAGTCCATTCTTTCTCTAATTAACTGTCCTATTTCAGTGTGTTTGTCTTGAGAGAGGCAGTAGAAGCTCCTCAAGAGGGAGGGCTTTTGTTTATTGATCCATTAGCACAGCAGATGGAGGATTGTCTGCAATTCTGTAGAAATGTGGAAAGAACAGGAGTCGGCATTATTTTTCCAGCAGAGAAAGAGGTGGATTTAATTTAGGCAATTATTTAGTTGTGAAGTAACTGTTTATTTTCCTCAAACCGTTCCAAAGGTTGTTGAGGGGAAGGTGAATGGGCCCTGAAGTCAGGTGAACATAAGCTGTAAGAAGCTCTGCTTAGAATCCAATGTTCCCCTAAATTTGTTTTATTTATTGATTTGAGAGAGGAAGGGGGGGGGGGAGAGAGAGAGAGAGAGAGAGAGAGAGAGAGAGAGAGAGAGAGAGAGATTGATTTGTTGTTCCACTTATTTATGCATTCATTGCTTGATTCTTACATGTGCCCTGACTAGGGGTCGAACCCACGGCCTTGGTGTATAGGGATGATGCTCTCACCAACTGAGCTACCCCGCCGGGGCCCAATGTTGACTTAATGTCCTACTTATATATACAAAAGCCTAATATGCAAAGTGTCCCCTCAGGAGTTTGACCGACCAGGAGTTCGCTTGCTCGCTATGACATGCGCTGACCACCAGGGGGCAGCGCGGAACGAAGGAAGGCTTGGGCTGGCAGCCGGCAGCCACTAGGGTCCCTACCCATGCACGAATTTTGTGCACGGGGCCTCTAGTTCTTTTATAATCGGAGCATTCACTTGGCAATCATGATTCATCCTAGACAGCCTGGCAGGTGAGAAACCATGGTTGGTCAAATGAAAATGGTGCTGACCTAGTGGGTTATGTATTTGGATAAACTGCCAACCCGTTACCGACACTCGTTTGTGTCTGAGTCTAACCTCGAGTTCCTTATTGGTTATGCTACTGATACGCTGGGTGGCATCCTCCTGTGGAAATGAAACTGATCGCGGTGGAGAGAATTGGCCTTTTCTCACTCAGGTTCCCACGTGCCCCGGCCCGCAGGGCAGCACCTATCGGGCTTGTCCCATTCAGAACCACCGTGAAGTCCAGGTGTCCTCGGATGTCGTTCTCCCTCCCCAAGGCACCCTCATTTCCCCTGCAGGTGTCATACTTACTATCCTCTTTCCATCTTGTGCCTGGAATCATTCCTCCCTATTTTCCCCATTGAACATCCTCCCCGAGGTGCCTCTGGGGAAAGACTTGACCTGAGGACCAAGGAGGTACTCACCTTTGGCCACGTTCTGCGCCTGCTTTTGCGTTTGCCTTTGAGGGGGGTATGGGGGGGGTGGCAGTCTCTCCAGCTGCCTGGTGGACCCAGCAGGTGGGTTTTCATGCTGGTCGGTGGTCTTTGGAGGTTTACGTTTGGATGAGCGTGTGGGGCCGGGGGGTGGGGGGGCAGCCAGGCTAAGGGGCGTGGCATCCTGTTCTCTCTGGAAGACCGACCACCCTGGGTTACCTTGGCACTAAGTTCCTTGGCACAGCCCAATCCTAGGAAACCACAGAGGACCTAGTGCAGCCGCTCCAGGGCTCCTGTGACCATCACTGTTTTCTTCTTCCGTATTTTCTAACTTTCTGAGTCTCCCCGGAAGGAGTTGCCCCTTTGGGCACCGATATAT